AGGCGGAGGCGGAGGCGGAGGCGGAGGAGGAGGAGGAGGAGGAGGAGGAGGAGGAGGAGGAGGAGGAGGAGGAGGAGGAGGAGGCTCCTCCTCCTCGTCGTCTTCCTCCTCCTCCTCCTCCTCCTCCTCCTCGTCCTCCTCCTTTTCTTTCATCCTGGCGGGAGGGGAGGCGGAGAGGAGCCGGTGAGGAGAAAATAGAGGACCGAGCCAGCCAGTGGAGGCATGCTTGAGCTGGAGGCCCGGGCTGGGGGGAGGTGCCACAGATGCGAGAGGGGGGAGGGGCGGGGGACTCTGACCTGGGCGAAGGTCGGTGGTTTAAAGATGGGGTCTTGAAGGATGGGGTCCTGAGGACGAGGTGCTTCAAACAATGTGAATCCGCCCTTGGGCCCCTTCCTATTCTTAGTCGAGTCAGGCGCACCCTAACATGGGTGAGTGATCCGCAGATCCATGGATCGGGGCAGGCACCGGACATATGAGGCCAGTGCCGCCTCATCTGGCGACAGCGCGCGCGCCGATGTTGCATAACAGCGGGACCTGAACCCACGCGCCTTGATCCATGCTAGCGCTCCCTCCACTCGGTGGGAAAACTAAAGGGTACCGATACCACTTCTCCCCTGACCTCTCCCGGGGTGCGTTCTGACCAGAATTTCGGGCCAGCGGTGGCGACGAGGGCCTCCGAGGATGCCCAGAAAGGAGAAAACGAGGAAAGGGTAGAGGTATGGGTACGCTTTCCTCTTCCGAACTCAGGCCCACACCCCTCAGGACTCCATCTGTGAACCGTCGAGGCTAGAGGCTAGACGAGCGCGTTCCACTACTCGCACAGGAACCGCTCGCAAATGGCCTGGATCCCCCCCGGGGGATCTACGATACATTACATCGAAGCGGACATGAGGTTTTCGGACGTTTGCGAGTAGGCACTTTGCGAGTAGTGGAACCCAGAGATCCGACGTCGTGAATTTTACCTAACAGCTCTTGCTGATAGGTTTCTAGTGGTCTCAAAAGAGATCATCATGACTCCTCAGGGGGGTCTGGGCGGGACCCGGGGAGGCTGCCGCCGAAGCCGAAATCGCTTGGGACATCCTCGCAAAATCGCTCTTGTGCTCTTCGACTTCCCAGAACTCCATTCCCGGCCACATTTTGGATGCCCGGAGCCAACTGTAGGCCACTTCGTGCTCTTCGATTTCCCAGAACTCCATTCCCGGGCCACATTTTGGATGCCCGGAGCCAACTGTAGGCCACTTCGTGCTCTTCAAGTTCCCAGAACTCCATTCCTGGGCATGATTTTGAATGCCCGGAGCCAACTGTAGGCCACTTCGTGTTCTTCTAGTTGTTCTTCTAGTTCCCAGGAACTCCATTCCTGGGCCACATTTTGAATGCTGAGGCAGGCTGATGCTGCGGCCGAGGCAGGCTGAGGCTGAGGCAGGCTGAGGCTGAGGCCTGAGGCTGAAGGCAGACTGAGGCTGAGGCTGAAGACTGAGGCTGAGGCTGAGGCAGGCTGAGGCTGAGGCTGAAGCAGGCTGATGCTGAGGCAGGCTGAGGCTGAGGCTGAGGCAGGCTGAGGCTGAGGCAGGCTGAGGCTGAGGCCGAGGCCGAGGCTGAAGGCAGACTGAGGCTGAGGCTGAAGCAGGCTGAGGCTGAGGCTGAGGCAGGCTGAGGCTGAGGCAGGCTGAGGCTGAGGCTGAGGCAGGCTGAGGCTGAGGCTGTGACTGCGACTGCCGTTGCCGCTGCGACTGTCATCGCGAATGCGACTACGACTGCGAGAACAGCAGAATTCTACAACTGGATTTTCATCTGAATCTTAAGGGGAATGCTTTCAGATATGCTTCTACACATCGCTGTTAGGTTGCTTTGCCGGGATAATTTCAACACGGGGTCCCTGGAAGTCTCGGCACATTCCCCAGGACCGGTTTTTCATCCTGAGTCGTTTTCTGACGCTCCCGGGGCCCGGCGAGGGCCCCTCGAGGCCGAAAAACAGGAAAAACCCACGTCTGGATTTCTTCAATGCGTTGCATCTCTGGGAACGCGCCCGGTGAGAGACGGGGGACTTGTGCCCCCCTCCCCGCCTGCCGCCGGGGGGGGGGGGGGCTTGTGCCCCCCTCCCCTCAGGACCCCATCGGACCCCACCCCGCCGAACTCGGGCCCCCACCCCTCGAGACCCCCATCTGTGAACCGTCTTGGGACGGGGGACTTGTGCCCCCCTCCCCGCCTGGGCGCGCGGGCCGCCCCTCCCCCCCCCAAAAAAAAACGCCCGCCCGCGGCGGCGGCCGCGCGCGCCGGGTGGCGGCGCCTCGCCTGCGGCGGTCCTCGCCCAAGCGTTAAGGCGGGCCTGCCCCTCTACAGGAGGGATACCCAAAGATCCAACGCATTGAAACAATCAAGACGGCGTTGTTTCGTATCTTTCGGCCTCTAAGGACCCTCGCCGGGCCCCGGGACCGTGAAACAAGGACTCAGGATGAGAAACTGGTCCTGGGGAATGGGTCGAGATTTCCAGAGACCCCGTGTTGAAAAAATCACGACGTCGGATCTCTGGGTGTTCAAAAAATAAAAAAGAAGATAGTCTGGGGACGACTGTTGCCCATTCGGGGGGTATTTCTGGAGTTTTATTACCTAACAGCTTTTGCTGATAGGTTTCTAGTGGTCTCAAAAGAGAGCAGCAGATGACTCCACAAGGGGGTCGGGGCGGGACCCGGGCGGCTGCCGCCGAAGCCGAAATCGCTTGGGACATCCTCGCAAAATCGCTCTTGGTGCTCCCAGAACTCCATTCCCGGGCCACATTTTGGATGCCCGGAGCCAACTGTAGGCCACTTCGTGCTCTTCGACTTCCCAGAACTCCATTCCCGGGCCACATTTTGGATGCCCGGAGCCAACTGTAGGCCACTTCGTGCTCTTCGACTTCCCAGAACTCCATTCCCGGGCCACATTTTGGATGCCCGGAGCCAACTGTAGGCCACTTCGTGCTCTTCAAGTTCCCAGAACTCCATTCCTGGGCATGATTTTGAATGCCCGGAGCCAACTGTAGGCCACTTCGTGTTCTTCTAGTTCCCAGAACTCCATTCCTGGGCCACATTTTGAATGCTGAGGCAGGCTGATGCTGCGGCCGAGGCAGGCTGAGGCTGAGGCAGGCTGAGGCTGAGGCCGAGGCTGAAGGCAGACTGAGGCTGAGGCTGAAGCAGGACTGAGGCTGAGGCTGAGGCAGGCTGAGGCTGAGGCTGAGGCAGGCTGATGCTGAGGCAGGCTGAGGCTGAGGCTGAGGCTGATGCAGGCTGAGGCTGAGGCAGGCTGAGGCTGAGGCCGAGGCTGAAGGCAGACTGAGGCTGAGGCTGAAGGCAGGCTGAGGCTGAGGCTGAGGCAGGCTGAGGCTGAGGCAGGCTGAGGCTGAGGCTGAGGCAGGCTGAGGCTGAGGCTGTGACTGCGACTGCCGTTGCCACTGCGACTGTCATCGCGAATGCGACTACGACTGCGAGAACAGCAGAATTCTACAACTGGATTTTCATCTGAATCTTAAGGGGAATGCTTTCAGATATGCTTCTACACATCGCTGTTAGGTTGCTTTGCCGGGATATTTTTTTTTGTAATAATATTTTTCGCCCAAACTTAAGCTCCCTGTAGGGGGGCAGGCCCGATCCAACCCAAGCGGCCGCGGAGGGGGCGGGGGGCGGCGGGCCGGGCTTCGCCGCCGCCGCCCCCCTGCGGCGCGGACAGCGCCCGCTGCGCCGAGCGGCGGTGGGCCCAGAGATCCCACGCACTGGCAAAAGACAGAAGACGGAGGCTTCTCGCAACTTTCGGCCTCGGGGGGCCGTCGCCGGGCCCCGGGACCGTCCAAAAACGACCGGTCCCGGGCCCCAGGACCGTCAAAGAACGACTCAAGATGAGACACGGGTCCTGGGGAACGGGTCGAGGCTTCCGGGGACCCCGCATGGAGAAAACCACGACGTCGGATGCTTCTCGCAACTTTCGGCCTCGGGGGGCCGTCGCCGGGCCCCGGGACCGTGAAGAAGTGACTCAGGATGAGAGAAAGGGGTCATCGCTCGGACGTCCATTCCCTGTTTTTTTTGTCCGTTTCGCGCGTGTTTTTTTCGCCAACTGATCAAGGATGCTCCTCGATGGTCCTCGCCGAAGGAAACATGCACACGTCCGAGCGACGCGGGGAACGGGTCGAGGCTTCCGGGGACCCTGCATGGAACAAACCACGACGCGTCGGATCTCTGGGGGGGCCGCTCTTGCCAGGCCCCGCCGCCGCAGGCTCCCGGATGGCCGCGGACCGGCCCGACAAGCAGAGCCCCGCCCTCCTCCCCCCTCCCTCCTCCCTCCTCCCTCTCCTCCTCCCTCCTCCTCCTCCCTCCTCCCTCCTCCTCCTCCTCCTCCTCCTCTCCTCCCTCCTCCTCCTCCTCCTCCTCTCCTCCTCCTCCTCGCGTGCCGCGAGGGCGGGCGGCCGCGCCCGGTCGCGGCGGCGGCCCGGGCGGTGGGGCGGCCCGCGGCGCCCCGCCGAAGCCGCGGCGGGCTGCGGCGGGGCGCCGCGGGCCGCTCGGGGGGGACCGAGAGGGGGGGATGGCAAAGGGTACTCCAGATTTCGTAATAAAGGGAGGGGGGTCTCATTTCGGGGGGGGTCTCTTCCAGGCTATCTTGGAGGGCCTGGGGGGGTCTGGGGACGATGTTTTGGAGGGTTCTACCACGGGGGGGGGTCTGAAATGGCTTGTCTTGGAGGGTCCAGACCCCCTCCCTTTTATTATTACGAAATCTGGAGTAGGGTGGAGGCCCAGAGAGCCAGCGTCTGGAACAAAATCAAGACGGAGGTGTTGCGCCGTTTTCGGCCCCTACAGGGGCCCTCACTGGGCCCCGGGACCGTCAAAAAATGACTCGGGATGAGAAGCCGGTCCTGGGGAATGGGTCGAGACTTCCGGGGACCCGCATTGAAAAAATCACGACGCCGGATCTCTGGGTAGAGAATCAGCTCCTCACGTAGCTGATTCTCCCAGCGCCTCCGTGCGCCGGGAGGCGCCGATGTGTCGAGGAATGGGCCCCGCGGCGGGGCCGAAACCAGCTGCGTCGTAACCCCCCCTGTCCCTATCCCCCCCCCTTTCGTGCGGCCCCAGCCGCTCAGAGGGTGTGGGGCGGCGGATGCCCGGCTGCACGGCAACGGTCGGGCGCTGGCGGAGCTGGGTGCCCTGAGATCCTGGCGGCTCCATTGGGGAGCGCCCTGACCGGCAGTCCGAGGCGGACCCCGCCGTGGCCACCGGGGCCTCGAAGACAACGGACAGGGGCAGCGGCACCGGTGCTCCCAACAATCCAACGCACTGAAAAAATCAAGATGGACATTGAGATCCTGGCGACTCGACTTTTTCGAGCCGGGCGTGTTTTCGCTTTTTTTCGGGCCCTGGGATCCTCACAGATCGATCCGGCTCGACGCAGGAAGATGGGCTCCGGGGCTCCCGGCGCGAATTTTTTCACGATGTGGCAATTTTTTCGCCACGTCGGATCTCTGGGTTTAGTGGGGCCTGGTTTAGTGATGTGGACCGGGGGGCGCCCCCCAGGCCCCAGGCCACGAACCAGAACCGCCGCCACCCGAAAAAGCACCAGCTATACGGCAGACCTGGCCAATTGAAAGGCTCCAGGGCCCTGCTGCTAACCGGGTCCCCTTACCTGGGGTCCTGGCTATAACTACCCGAAGCGGGGCGGGCGGGGCCGTCCCAACCATCCACCGGCTCGGACAGAAAGAGGGCGGAAAATCTTCGCCGTCTTTGGCCTCTGGGGGCCCCGCGGCCGACAAAAGATCACTCGGGATGAAGAACCGGCGGCCCTGGGGAAGGTCTGGGCTTCCGGGGGACCCGTACTGAACAACAGTTCTTTAGACAACAATCCACTGGCATAGCCTGTGCACAGGCCTATCATAGGCCTATGACAGACGAGACGCGCAGGCCCTGAGAAGGCCTATCGATAGGCCTATGATAAGCCTGTCGACAGGCTTATGCATAGCCCTGTCGCAGGCCTATCGACAGGCTGTGCATAGGCCTATGACAGGCCTATCGACAGGCTGTGCACAACCCACAAAAGGTTTATACATAAGCCTATGCACAGGACGTGCACAGGTCTATACTCTGCCTGAGCACAGCGCGCGAATCTACTCGAACACGCGGGGACAGACCTAGACACAGCCTATGCACAGGCCTATCACAGGCCTATGGGCAGGCTGTACATAGGCCTGTGAACAGGCCTGCAGTAGACCTATGGTGGGCCTGCGGCAGGCCTGTGCACAGCCTATGCACAGGCCTGTAGAAGGTGCGTCATCTCGTATGTATAACCTACGCACAGGCCCGAACCCAAGGCCCGCGGCAGGCCTATGCATAGCCTGCTCATTGGCCTGTGTTAGACCTGCGCGCAGGCTGCGCACTGATCTGCAGGCTGTGAGCTTTGGGACAGCGTGGACCAAATCTTCCAGGCAGCCCCAGGACAAGTCCAAGATGTCATCCCGTAACCTCCTAAATATTCAAATGTGAGCCTAGAAGCGAAGGAAAGGAGGAAAGGAAAGAAGACAGGCATCCCAGAGAAGGCTGGAAGGGTCACCCTAAAACGGGGCGGATTTTAGGGTGACCCTTCCAGCTCTCTGGGTAGCCCACACGAGGTCCGATGGGGTCTCACCGAAACAGAGTAGATGTCAGGGCGTTTCCATGGCTCGCGCGAGTCCTGGGAAGGGTCCGAAGGGCTACTACCTTAGTGGAGGCGCGGGGGGGGGGGAAAACAGACGGCGGAGGAGGAGGAGGAGGAAGAGGAGGTCAAGGAGGAGGAGGAGGAGAAAATGAGAGGAGGGAGAAAGAGCGTAGGAGGTGAGGGGCGGAAAAGGAGGAGGAGGAGGAGAGGGAGGTGGACGGAGGAGGAGAGGAGGAGGAGTGAGGAGAAGGAGGAGGAGGAGGAGGAGGAGAAGAGGGGAGGGGAGGAGGAGGAGGAGGAGGAGAAGGAGGGTGAGGAGGAGGAGGAGGAGGAAGGAGGAGGAGGAGGAGACGCAGGAGCAGGGAGATGGAGAAGGACGAGCAGGAGACGGAGGAGCAGAAAGCGGAGGAGGAGGAGGAGGAGGAGGAGAAGGAGGAGGAGGAGGGGAGAGGAGAGCAAACGACACGCACGGAGGAGGAGGAGGAGGAGGGGAGGAGGAGGAGGAGGAGCGAGGAGGAGGAGGAGGAGGAGGAGCAAACGACCACGCAAAGAGGAGGAGGAGGAGGAGGAGGAGGAGGAGGGGGAGGAGGAGGAGGAGGGGGAGGAGGAGGAGGAGGAGGAAGAGGAGGACGAAGAGACGGAGGAGCAGAAAGCAGAGGAAATGGAGGACGAGGTCTCCTGTGAACGAGCCCGGCTGGTTGCCGTAAAACAAGACATATTTTAGGGTGATCCCCTGGGCATCGAGAGAATCTTCCAAGAAAGAGCCCGAAGAGACACCCCGTAATCCTTGCGGGGGGAAGAGGCGGGATGAAGTACAGTAGGAGGAAGAGGAAGAGGACCAAGAGAGGGAGACCGATTCACAGCTTGTCCACAGGCCTGCGGCAGGCCTGTGCATAGCACGTGCACAAGCTCGTCGCGGGGCGTCGGCTGTCTCACGGGCCCACCACAGGCCACCACAAGCCTGTCGACAGGCCTGTGACAGGCCTGTGCACAGGCCTGTCGTGGGTCGTCGGCCCTTTCCTAGGCCGACCACTGGCCTGTGCACAGGCTGTTCACAGACCTGTGACAGGCCTGTGTACAGGTTCTGCACAGGCCTGTCGCGGGGTGTTGCCTAACCACAGGCCCACCATGGGCCTGTCGACAGGCCCCTGGCAGGCCTGTGCACAGGTTATGCATAGGCCTGTCGCGGGGCGTTGGCCCTCTCCCAGGCTCACCACAGGCCTGTGCCAAGGCTGTCCACAGGCCTGTGGTAGGCCGGTGCACAGGCTGTGCACAGGCTTGTCGCGGGGTGCCGGCCGCGCACAAGCCCACCACAGGCCTGTGCACAGCCTGCGCACAGACCTGTGACAGGCCTGTGCACAGGCTATACACAGGCCTGTCCTGGAGTATCGGTCCTCTCCCTGGCGCATCGCAGGCCTATGCACAACCTTTTCACAGGCCTGTCATAGGCCTATGCATGGGGTGCGCACAAACCTAAGCACAGGCCTGTGCACAGACCTACGTTTCGTGAGCACACAGGCCCCTGACAGGCCTGTGCACAGGTTATGCACAGGCCTGTCGCGGGGCGTTGGACCTCTCCCAGGCTCACCACAGGCCACCACAAGCCTGTCGACAAGCCTGTGACAGGCGTGTCGACAGGCCTGTGCGCAGGTTATGCACAGGCCTGTCGGGGAGCGTCGGCCCTCTCCCAGGCCCACCACCGGCCTGTGCACAGGCTGTCCACAAACCTGTGACAGGCCTGTGCACAGGCTATGCACAAGCCTGTCGCGGGATGTTGCCTCACCACCACAGGCCTGTCGACAGGCCTGTGCACAGGCTATGCACAGGCCTGTCGCAGGGCGTTGGCCCTCTGCCAGATTCACCACGGGCCTGTGCACAGCCTGTCCACAGGCCTGTGACAGGCCTGTGCACAAGCTATGCGCAGGCCTGTCGCGGGGTGTCGGCCCTCTCCCAGGCCCACCACAAGCCTGTGCACAGGGCTGTGGCAGGCCTGTGCGCAGTACTGTGACAGGCCTGTCGCGGGGTGTCGGCCCTCGCAAACGCCCACCACAGGCCTATCGACTGGCCTGTGGTAGGCCTGTACACAAGCCTGAGGCGGGGCGTTGGCTTTCTCCCAGGCCCACCACAGGCCTGTGCACAGGCTGTCCACAGGCCCGTGCACAGGCTATGCACAGGCCTGTCGCGGGGTGTAGGCCGTCTCCCAGACTCATCACCTTGCCTTTGCACAGCCTGACCACAGGCCTGTGCACAGGCTATGCACAGGCCTGTCGTGGGGTGTCGGCTCTCTCCCAGGCCCGCCACAGTCCTGTCGCGGGGTGTCGGCCCTCGCAGAGGCCCACCACAGGCCTGTGGTAGGTCTGTGCGCAGGTTATGCACAAGCCTGTGGCGGGGCGTTGGGCCCTTCCCACGCCCAGCCTGTCCACAGGCCTGTGGACAGGCTAGGCTGTACACAGGCCTGTCGTGGGGCGTTGGCCTTCTCCCAGGCCCACCACAGGCCTGCGCCAAGGCTGTCCACAGGCCTGTGACAAGCCTGTGCACAGGCTGTGCACAAGCCTGTCGCGGGGTGTTGCCTCACCACAGAGGCCCACCACAAGCCTGTCGACAAGTCTGTGCGCAGGTTGTTCAGAGGCCTGTGACAGGACCGTGCGCAGGCTATGCACAGGCCTGTCGCGGAATGTCGGCGTTCTTCCAGGCCCACCGCAGGCCTGTGCACACCGCAGGCCTGTGCACAGCCTATGCACAGGCCTGTGACAGGCCTGGGCACTCGCTATGCACAGGCCTGTCGCGGGGTGTCGGCCCTCGCAAAAGCCCAGCACTGGCCTGTCCACATGCCTTTAGTAGGCTTGTGCACAGGTTGTGCACAAGCCTGTCGCGAGGCGTTGGCCCTCCCCGAGGCCCACCACAGGCCTGCGCACAGGAATCTGTCACAGGCCTGTGAACAGGCTGTCGACATCCCGCGACAGGCCTGTGCGTAGCCTGTCCACAGGCTTGTGCACAGGCTATGCACTGGCCTGTCGCAGGGTATCGCCCCATTCCCAGGCTCACCACAGGCCAGTGCACAGCCTTTCCACAAGCCTGGAACAGGCCTGCGCACAGACCTGTCCACAGGCCTGTGGTAGGTCTGTGCACAAGCTGTGCACAAACTTGTCGCCAGGCTTAACCCTCTCCCAGGCCTACCACACGCCTGCGCACAGGCTGTCCACAGGCCTGTGGTAGGCCGGTGCACAGGCTGTGCACAGGCCTGTCGCGGGGTGCCGGCCCGCGCACAAGCCCACCACAAGCCTGTGCACAGCCTGCGCACGGACCTGTGACAGGCCTGTGCACAGGCTATACGCAAGCCTGTCCTGGAGTATCGGTCCTCTCCCTGGCGCATCGCAGGCCTATGCACAACCTGTTCACAGGCCTGTCATGGGCCTATGCATAGGGTGCGCACAAGCCCAAACGCAGGCCTGTGCACAGGCCTACGTTTCGTGAGCACACAGGCCCTATGGGTAAGCTGTGCATAGACCTGTCGATAAGCCCATCGATCGGCCTATGTGTAGGCTGTGCATAGGCGTGTCGTGGGCCTGTGGACACAGGCTGTGCATAGGCCCATACGACGGAGGCTTCCACAGGTCTGTATACACCCTATACACAGGCCTACGATAGGCCTGCGCACATCCTACGCATGGGCCTGGGACAGACCTATACGTAGCTTGTGCACACGCCCACAGGGGACCTATCATAGGCTATGCATAGGCTATCGTCAGGATTGCTGATTGTTCCATGCATCTAGGTCTGGACTCCGGGAAATTCGTATTGAAAACAGCTCTTCGTTACATCTACCAAACACAGGTTGTCGGGTGGGGAATGAAAACGCTGGATATCTGAGGTCAAGGGGAGGCGTCGGCAAGCGTGGGAACTCGGCTGCGCGCAGGATGCGACAGGCAGAGTGTTGTCTCTGGTGCGCGGCTGGGCCGATCTTTGCGTGCGAGATGCGGCAGCAGTTAGCGTCCTGGTTGCCTGGCTCTAGCCGAAGGATCACTCCAGCGAAAGGTCACCCTCGAGCAGCTGTGGAACGAAATCACCAAATTTAGTTCTTCGCGCCGGGCCGGGCGCAATTTTCTTCGCACTGCGCACCCTCGCGTGTGAACTTGCCATGGGACTTAAGCCTGGTTCTTCAAAAAGAGATGACCAAGATCACCCGACACTCGTCCAACTCGTCAGCGAGCAAAACGACATAATCGAGTTGTGATCTGCGCCGTGCTTGCTCCGCTGGGCGCGCGCTGCTGGGTGTACCAAGTGTCCCTGGGTGGGAACGGGCCCTGCACCTTGGGCCTGCCCCCCACATCGGCGCTTCATCCTGCCTTGATTGCGACGTTTCATCATGACCAACGCGGGGGGGCGTCGAGGGGTGGCGCCGGGTGGCCGCTCAGCTGACATCGGCTGTCCCCCCCGCCCGTTGCCGCACACCCGGGGATAGCGGAGCTCGTGGTGCCCCCCGCTGAAGATCGCCGTGGAGCCGCCGAGCATTCGCTGCCGGCTCTCCAGTAGGCCGCCGTACTCTGGCACTGCGCCGTAGCGGCTGCCCGCCGCCATGCCCGCTGCACGCCGGGCCTTTGGGTCACTGTAGTAGGCCAGGTCGGACAGGTCTTGGCCGCTCGCCAGCCGGAGCTCCTCGGCGTATGACCTCACGACGAAAATGAAGTACAGCTCGACGCCTAAGACAAAGAGGATCGTGAAGGAGTTGAGCATCCGCGCAATGCCACAAGCAAAGGCCGCGCCGCCGGGTCCGACCACGCCAGGCAGGTGCTGGCAGGGGCCGCTGATGACCATGTCTTTCAGGATGAAGACAAGGTCTATGGCCATGGCCGCCAGCATGTAGTACACATACAAGCGGATGGGCGCCACGGCCTTCGCGGACGCGCCCCATAGTGCGGCAAGCATCACCGGCACCCCGGCTAGGGCCATCGCGGCGGTGAAGATCTGCGTGGTCGCGCTGCCCGTGAACTCAAACTTCGAGCCGTGAAAGACAACCGTGTTGAGGGCCAGGAAGACCACGAGCAGGCTCCGCAGCAGCCCGAACGCAATGATAGCCTTCGTGGCGCACAGGCGGGGGTCGGGCGAAGGGGGAGGCCCGAAGAAGAGGGCAAGGGGCCTCCTCCACCTCCTCCTCTTCCTCCTCTTCTTCTCCTGCCTCCTCCACTCTCCTCCTCCTCCCTCCCTCCCCGCCTCCTCTTCCTCTTCCCCTCCCCCTCCCCCTCCCCCTCCCCCTCCCGCTCCTCCTTCTCCTCCCTCCTCCTCCTCCTCCTCCTTCTCCTCCTCCTCCTCCTCCTTCCCAGAAGGATCGGCCCCTTCCGGTCAGGAACCTCTGCTCAGCGTGTCTCGGCGGCGGCCCCGACGACCCGCTGCGCCCTGCAGCCCTGCAAGCGGACGGCGTGACGCCCCGCCCCGCGGGGCGGGAGGCGGGGAAGAGTTCGGGACGCTGCCGCTTGGGAACGGGGACGTGGTCAGCGCGGCGCGCCGAAACGCGGTGGGCAAGAGTTCCTGACCGTACAGGGCAATTCTTAATACATCGGATTTTAAAACATATACGATTTTAATACATGGTTAATGTATGAGTGAATTTATGCATGCACTCATCGCTGCTTTTAATACAGAATCCCTGCATTTTTACTACATGATCCGCACGCGAATCATGTAGTAAAAACGGCACTGTGAGCGCGGGGGGGGGGATCCGAAAAGATTCCTTAGAAGGCATGGAGGCTTCCCACGAGGCGGGGCGCCCTCTTCAGGGGCTGCCCGCCATGCGCCCCCCGACGCCATGAATTTGTCACGGCGTCGGCCCCCAGAGGTCTCGACCCTTTCACTTGGACTGGCTTTTCATCCAGAGTCTTACTTTGACGGTCCCGAGGCCCGGCAAGGGCTCCCAGAGGCCGAAAATAGCTAAACATCACGTAGCCTCGTCTCTATCAGGGAGGCGTCGTGACCCAAACTGTGCCCGAAAATCTGCCCGAGTGTGACCGAAACTGGCGCCCGACATTTTCCGCCCACGCCCGCGTGTGAACGAAATGTTCGGGGTTCGAATCTACGATTTCGGTCACAAGTTCGGTCGCATAGCGTTTTCGGTCACACTTCAGGCACCTGTTCGATCACCGAATCGTTCTGGGTACTTACTTTTTCGGCTGATAGGGGTGGCGTGCCATGATCAAAACCTCCCGTCGTGATTTGTGAGCGTTTTCTTACTCGGCGTTTCGACATTGGGCGTAAGGGGGGGAAAAGGGGGGGGGTCTGGCTCCGGACCTCTGCTTACCGCGACTGTTCGCAGCAGTGTGTCCCATGGGGGAGGGGGCCTCCACCTGCTCGAGACAGGCACCAGCAACAGCCAAGATCTACTCCATGGGGGGGGGAAGGGGGAGGTGGGGGGGGTGCGAGGGCCCGCGCCGATCGGCCAAACAAGGAGTAAGACAACGATCGCTTTCTCCATGGCCTGTCGGGGGTTCGTGCTTCCCGAGCTGAGTCCAGGGTGGGGCGAGAGTGATGGGCCTGTTTTCCACCACCGCCACCATAAGTTGGAGGGGGGGGAGGAGGAGGAGGAGGAGGAGGAGGAGGAGGAAGAGGAGGAGGAGGAGGAGGAGGAGGAGGAGGAAGAGAGGAGGAGGAGGCGGAGAAGGAGGAGGAGGAGACGGAGGAGGAGGAGGAGGAGGAAGGAGGAGGAGGAGGAGGCGGAGGAGCAGGAGGAGGAGGAGGAGGAGGAGCAGGGACGAGGAGGAGGAGGAGGAGGAGGAGGAGGAGGAAGGAGGAGGAGGATGACAGGAGGAGGAGGAGGAGGAGGAGGAGGAGGCGAGGAGGAGGAAGGAGGAGGATGACGAGGAGGAGGAGGAGAGGAGGAGGAGGGGAGGAGGAAGAGGAGGAGGACGAAGGAGGGAGGAGGAGGAGGAGGAGGAGGACGGAGGAGGGAGGAGGAGGACCCCCTCCTCGAGAAGAGGCCGCGATGGGAAGCATAGAAACAATCAGCCACACCCATCCTCCTCCTCCTCCTCCTACGCTCCTCCCTTCCCCTCCTCATCCTCCTCCTCCATCGTCCTTCCCCCCCTCGAGACGACGCGCCAGGACTGGAAGCTGAAAAAATCCCCCCCCCAACCCCAGTGCCGACCTTAGTGGGCCCTGGAAACGACAGGGCCGTTTTTTTTACCGGCTCCGTTTTGCCGTTTTTTTGCGGGTTCCGACGCCGTTTTTTACCAATTTCGTCGCCGTTCTTTTACGGGTTCCCGCTCCGGTTCCAATCCTGGATCTGTTTTTGTTGCCGCTTCCTGTCACCGTTTTTTGCCGTTTCTATTTTCAAGGGGCACTTTTTCGGAAACTGTGAAAAAAAACGGCCCTACTGTTTCCGGGGCCCACTAAGGTCCCGACCCCATCCCCGAACCCGCGATCCAGGGGGTCGAGACTGGAGGCGGGGGTGGCTTTTCGGGACCCAAGGATGGAGAAAACGCCCCCACCCCCAGTCCCGACCCACGGAATCGCCAGCTCGGGGATGGGAGTCGGGACTGGCAGTGGGGGTGGGTTTTCGACTTCTGAAGGACGAGGACAACACCCGGTGAGGATTCATCGATTCAGGGGGTCGACCACAAATTTGCGTTGCCCACACTCGATCTGGTCGTCGAATCTACAAGCACATGCGTAGAATGTGCGGCAGATCTAGGAAAGCTCCGCGCATTTGTTCCAGGTCCGAGGAAACATTTTAATTTTCGGACAAGTTAAATCTGTACTCGGTCCCCTACTCGAAATCATCGAGAATCTCTACGTAAGATCTGGCGATCTGGAGGACGTCTCGGACGCCGCGGCCTTCTCGGAGCGTTTCGGAACGCTCTGAGAGCGCTCTGGAACGCTCTGGGACGGATCTGTCCTCGTCCCAGCCCCGTCCGACCTCCTCCCCCCTTACCTCCCAGGTGCGGCCCTGCGAGGGCTGCCGAGGGGCCTGCCTAATTACGTGCATCCGAGGATGTGTTTTTTCCCTTCCCCAGGGGTGCCGAATCCGTCTTGGAAGGCCGCGGGGCCCTCAAACGGCCCCCAGGAGGAGGCGAGGAGAAGGAGGCGGAGGAGGAGGAGGGGGAGGAGGAGGAGGAGGAGGAGGAGGAGGAGGAGGAGGAGGAGGAGGAGGCGGAGGAGGAGGCGGAGGAGCGAAGCAGGTTGACAAAACGCAGGGCTGGTTTCGGGAATCTGGGCCTCCAGCAGTTTTCGGGCCGCAGCTCGGGATCAGGGCACCCACGGGACGCTCTCGACGGGGCGCAGCTGCCGACAAGCACCCCGAGGCCAGACAACCTCCAGGGACCGACGGAACCCCCCTTTAGCCGCCAGCCCTCCCACACACCTGCTGCTGCCCCTGAGCAGGGTCCGCAGCGGGCCTCTGGACCTCTCCAGGGTGTGCCCTGAGACCAGAATTTCGAGGCGGGTCGAGCCGTGGCCACGAGGGCGCCTCAGGACGATGCGGACGGAACGTCCTTCTTTTAATCATTTATCTCTGTAAAAACTAATGTCTGTAAGAGAATATAAGAAAATGCAAACATAAGTTAATATCATAATAATGTGTAAAAGTGTAGATGCAACAAGTTAATGTGTAATAATGTGTAAACGTGTATAATAATATAATAGTAATGCAATAAGTTAACCCCTCTGGGCGCCGGCAGAGGCCAGGGGGGGCTGCAGAGAGGGGGCTGGCTCTCCCAGAAGGCTCAGAAGGCCTCTGGCCTTCTGCGACGTGCTCTGGGCCTCCTCCGACAGCGACGGCCTCTCAGCAGGCCGCAGGGCTTCCGAGAAGCCCCGCCGCCTTCTGTAGGGGTGGCGAGCTCTCGGCACATCTGCTGCTCCCTGGCCAGGCACCTCCTGAGCCCAGCAGCGGTGCATACGCCACGCCCTCCTGGCTTGCGCCTGGAGGGGCGTATAACAGCCTCCTGGGGCACAGGAAGGGCCAGGCCAGGGGGCCAGACGCGACTGTGCAAATGTTTCGTCGCCCGCTCTGAAAAGGCTTGCCCCCTATCAACCCGTGGCCTCAGACGAAGCCACGTCGAGGAATAAAATCGGCCGTGAGATGAATCGATCATTCTGAAATTCGGAGGCTCTAGAAGGTGCCTAGGGCGCCGCGGCCTTCTCGAACCGTTCTGGGACGCTCAGAAAGGCGATTCCGGCACACGCCCTGGAACGGATTGTATCCTCGTCCCAGCCCCGTTCCGTAGTGTACAGATTCGCCGCCACTGTGTCTGGCAGATCTGCCCCATCTACCTCACCCCTCTTCATCCTCACTCTTCCTCCTCCTCCTCCTCCTCCTCCTCCTCCCCCGCTCATCCTTCCTTCTCCTCGCCAGGGCGACGCTCTCACGCGTCTTGGGATCTTGTTACGTCTGGGGGCGACCAGAGCTCCATGGCAAAGCATGCTGCGCCGATGCCGGCGCTTTTCCTCGTTTTTCCTCGTTCTCGCTCCCGGGGCCCAGCTTCTCGTTCTCGGCCCCAAACGGGGTCCCGCCCCCGCCCTGGGGGGCAGGCGCGTCGTCCCGGGCACAGATTTGGAGGGCCCTTCGGAACCAGAGGAGTGGGGCCCCAGCGGCAGAGACGAGAAGACGCCACGGATCCTCCCTCCTCCCTCCTGCTGCTCCTCCTCCTCACTCCTCCTCTTCCTTCCTCCTCCTCCTCGTCTCATCCTCCTCTCCCTCCTCCTCCTCCTCCTTCCTGCCTCCTCCCTCATCCTGCCCTCCCCTTTTTTCCTCCTCCTCCTCATGTCACCTCCCCCCTCCTGCCTCCTCCTCCCCCTCCTGCTCCTCCTCCTCCTCCTTCCCCTCCTGCTCCTCCTCCTCCTCCTCCTCTTCCTCCTCCTCCTTCTACATTCCTTTTCCTTATACATAATTTCTCCCTGTCGCATCCCGAAGCAAGTTTTCAGGGCGGGCTGGGCGTTTCGCCTGAGAGTTCCTCACCACTTATGACTCTGAAGCATAGAAGTTGACAGCAATTTCACAGATGGAGGGCGGGTCGTTTTCAACATGTGGCTCTCGCCTCAGCGCGGCGCACATTTGTTTTCACGGATTGAGGGCGGGTCGTTTTCAAAATG